CTATACCAGGTTGAGATGCAAATGAGGAGACTTCACTCAGGCAAGTCTGCTGGACCAGACGGAGTGAGTCCCCTCGTCCTCAAGACCTGTGCCCCCCAGCTGTGTGGAGTCTTTCATTAACTGTTTAATGTAACATTAATGTAACATTAATTAATCTAATATTACTGTAATGTTCTTAATGTAACATTAAGAACAGTTAACCAGATGTTTCTGTTAATCCTCAACTCAGCGTTTCAGTCATAGACTATATCTTTTAGACTACTACTACCTCCACAGTAGTCTTTTAGACTACTACTTTTAGACTACATAGACTACTAACAAGCCTACAAACATGCAGCGTCATTCACCGCAGGTCTGTGTGTGCAGGTGTGTGTGCTGGAAATGAGTGGAGTCGTCTCTGAACCTTACTGTCTATGCTCTGAACTAACCATCAGTAGCTAGCTGTCAATGACAGAGTTAAGCAGGAGGGATGGCAGCTAGCTAAACGATGCTAACACGTGTGACTGTATTGTACCAAATAGCTATTTAAGTTATAATTCAGTGAAACTGACATTGATCCTAGGCTACATCACTGGCAGCCTCTGGCTTTTCCTCACATGAGGCTTGGCTGCCAATCTAACAACTAACTAACCAACTCCAGTCAACAAATCATCAGCTAACTTAACAACACAGGTATTTACCTCCTTTAAGTCGGACCTTTTTCATTTTTACATGCGGTTGGTCTCGGCCAACAATTAAATAGTGTCGCCTGTCCGCTTCTTTTCATGGCTGATGTCTCCACAGTTCAGTTAGCAAGCATTTAGTTAGCACCAGTGACTGCACTAACAAACACACAGCAAATAGTGAAAGTTCGTTAGAGAAAGCCGGTTGGGTGGGGGGGTTACATTACTAGATGATTGTGTCTCTCTGTGTTATTCCACCTTAATAAATGACTTCCTGTTAGCATTGAGTGCTTCTGTAGGACTAATGTAATTTTCATGGTTGGATCATTTAAATGAAGCTGGACTCAGATGCAGTAAATAAATTGATTGGTCATTAATGAATAAAGCTGGTCAAACACATCACGTGGACACATGTGATTGTGTGTTGTAGTATTGATCCCAATGCTGCTATCAGTCCTGGATCAATAACACTGGATGGATGCGTTCAGCATGGAGCCCTGAGCTGTGTTACAGACAAAAATGGAAACTGACAGGTCTGTGTCATTCACAGTCTGTAACACTTCTAAACAACAGAGGCTGACCCAAGTGCCTCAGAGCCAGGCACGCTCACATCACAGCTCTCTAAATAAGCCAGTTTCAAAATAAGAGCTGAAAGCTGTGTTTGCTTGTGATAGCTTCATTTTCAAATGATGAGCTTTCGACAATGGGTGAAACAGTAAGAGCATTTGGAGAGTTTGGAAACATCCCATTAAAAAAGAGAAATCAAACATTTGGATTCATTTTAATGAGCTCAGACTTGTTGAAAATGCAGAGGAGCTGGTTGTGAACTGAGCTTCAGAGAAACACAACATACTGATATTCACTGTGAAGCTTTGAGTGGAAAAAGACAGAAAAACAACATGTGGATCCTGGAATAATGGGAGCTTCCATCTTTAAAGGACTGAAGAGGAAGAAGTTTACAAGGAATCATTTAGAAGAGTTTCAAACATCAACTGATTGAATCCATGAATCTGAAAACGTGTTTGTGAGTGAAAGAGACAGACATGTACAGACTGAACTATCTGTTCAACAGTCAGAGTGTTTCTGTAACAGGAGACACTCTTTACACTCCACTCAGCACAGGGACACTGAGCCACCAGGAGACCAGAACATAAACCCAGGATAAAGAGTTTGAGTGAATGTGGTGTTGAAGGTGTGGAGGTGGATCAGAGTGTCAGAGGAGACTCTGTAGAAGGACAGAGTGCCAGCAGGACAGTCCACATACACTGCTGCTCTGTTAGAGACAGAGGAGGAGGAGGAGGAGGAGATGGATGTTACTCTGTTATTGTGCCAGACATAACGAGGACCATCATCAGAGCAGATCAGACTCCAGGACTGATCATTCCATCCAAACAAACAGTCATCACTGTCTCCTTTCCTTCTGATTCTTCTGTAACTCACTGATATATAACTCTTCCTCTCCACTCGACCTCCCAGTAACAGCGACCAGTCAGACCATTTCTACACAGCAGCTGATAACCCATCAAATCTGTCTGGATGATCAGGATATGACTGAACCTCCTTCACATGTGTCACCTTCCTGTTGTTGTCAGACAGTTGGAGGTTTGTGTACTGTGTTTGTGTCGATTGTGAGTTGACAGGAATCTGATGGAGAGAACAAACACAATCCAGCTGCAGTTATTGATCCATCATCTGTTCATTGATTGACACTTTGATGATGACTCCTGACATCAGAGATGTGAATGAGTGATGTGACAGTTTGAAGATGGTTGAATGTGTGCTGCTTTGTTTTCATGAATCACATTAAAAACACACTTACACTTCCTCAGACCTGGTCTCAACCATCGGACTCCAGCAGGCTCCACCCTGAAAGGAGGAGGGGGGTCAGAGCAGCACAGTCAGCATGCACACATGGACATTACATGGCTCTCATACACACACTGTTACACACTGATAAAGGAACAGTCCAACATTTTCACAAATAAATTTCAATCCATACGTGGATCAAACTGCTGATGATTTGGATCCTGGATCTGTCAGTACACCACTGTATTGAATGAAATATGACTGATTCAAACTGTCACCTTCATCATCGTTATATTGCTCTTCTATATAGCTGGATAGGACACCTCGCTGCTTTTGCTCACATTCATGACCATTACTAAAATGCAACTGCTAACTTTCGCCAACATTTGCCTCCTTTTTGGCTTTCCTTGAAGATCCATGCTTGCATAAACCAATGGATTATAACAATACGTATGGAACCAAACCCGAATTATTACTACTGCTGTAAAACATAATATGTTTGTCGGTGTGAAGCCAAACATAGTTAAATGTTTTAGGAAACACTGGTGAGACGCTTCACCAAACATCTAGCCTGTGAGCTGTGGTGAGGAAACAGACTTGCTGTACTGAAGTTTAGGGTTAATGAGCTCTCATCCTGTATAAATCACTAATAATAAGACAGACATTAACTGGAGAAATCCTCCTCCTGTTTCTGTGCTGTTTTTGTCATGTTTATATCATACAACTTGAGTGTTTCACCTTTGTTAAAGACCAACATTTGTGCAGGATCGTATGTCCTGTTTCCCCTTTTTCTGGGTGTTATTTGGCACCATTAGTGATACTGTCATTCCTGCTCCACCTGTTGTCCCAATATCATCGAATGAAGAATTAAAAAATTTTCATTCTTCATTGTAATGTGAGGAACAATATCTCTCCTGTGTGTAGGTCTGTTATTTTAGAAAGCTTTTTCATTTAATGTATTTATTTCACACTTGGTTCAACAGTTTCAACAGTTTTGTCCTTTCATACACACAAACCATAGTTTTTCTCACTATAACTCGCAACAACCATGCGTGAAAAGGAGCAGGAAGAAGAAAAGATTCTTAATAAACCCTGCAATTTAGAAATCAAAATGGGATTTTGAAATGTATCAAAAGCTTTTTTTAAATCAACTAATACCCCAATTGTGTATTTATTATTACGGGTTGCAGATGAAATATCTTCAATAAAGGTCAACAATGCTAATGCTGTTGTTAAGTCTAATTGTTGAATGTTGTCATTGTGTTTCTTAAATTTGTAAAGTCTTAGTTCAAGCAGTAGGATCAAAGCCATTCCTTTCATCCTGACCACCTCTCCAGCCAATTTGGTGCTGGGGGAGGCTGACGTGGGTTTTATTGCAGATACATTCTGGAGGTCACACAAACGTACCCCCATGACACACACACACTCACACATACTTGCACATGCATACAGGTGCACACACACACACACACACACACACACACACACACACACACACACACACACAGTGCCTTGTCTTAGAACCATTGGGGGGTTTTACAGTGGGAGGTGTTGTGTTGTATTGTGTAAACTGTAACTGTCATGGGAATAAATAGCTGCGAGGAGAGCTGCTCTTTGAAGGATTAGAGACAGGTGAGGAGCATTGCTCCGCCGCCTGGTTCTAACCAAAGCTTCCCTCGTTAGCAAGTTAAAGATGTTCTATTAAGTCTTGTGTTCTTCATGAGGAATAAGTCTCTAAACTAGCAAGGCCTGGGAAACACAGACTCAACAGCTGTTGATCTATTTTTTCAAAATCCAAATTCATTTTCATTTATTAGTTGTTTTTTTTGTTTTTGATAAAACTATCAAGTCTTTGCGGAAAAGGTTTTTCAAGCACTTTGAGAACTGTGAAAAAAGAGACACTGGCCTATAATTGTTAAAACTAGGCTTATCTCCTGATTTGTCAGGAGATAAGTGTTGAGACCAGTAGTAAAAGATATGTTATTTTATGACCGTAGTCAATGTAGTTGAATTATGATAACAGCTGTAGGACATATATTATCATTTAGTTTAGATGGTGTGCTGTGTATGTAGTTTAGTCCTCATTATACTCTTGGGTTAAAAGAACATAATCATTTTGTACTTCATTAGATAAGTGTGCATCACTCTGTATCCTTGATCGGCTGTGAATGTCTTACACTGTCTTCTTGACATGCTTTATTGTTGAATCATAAAAAGAAGGTTATAAGCAGGAGACTTTGTGTCTAGGACAGGGGAGATAGACCACATTCCATACCCCCACCTTACAGAGAGCAGAGAAACAAGGAGCCGAGGTCATAACTTAGGCGCCGTAAG